TTTATTAACTTAACTTTTAATTTAATTAATTTTATTATGGTTTAATTTGTATCTTAAGTTAAATTTTCAAAGTTAATTAACTTTAATTTAACTTAATTTAAAAAAAATTAATTTATCCAACCTTGCTGTATAATAACTAATATAATGCTAAATCAGAAAAAAATAATTCACTTTGAAAAGACTGACGCCAATGAGGTGTAAGCAATTATTGCGTCAGCTATCGCGGCACGATGCGCGACGGTGGTGATTGGCCGCGGTTGTGGAGCGGGAAATCCCCGTTGAAACTTGCTCGACCGCGGTTGTCCCACTGCAGTCTCGTATTTATCTTCTTCGTCATTCGCCGTCGAGTAAAGACCTCGTGCTCAGTCGTTTGGGAGAGACGCATGGTGGAGCATTATCGCCGTTGCCGTCATTGCCACCGCCGCCATCGCCGCTGCCGCCGCCACTTGTCGATATTGAGATAGCAGTGCGTCGTATTCCGTATTTTTAATCGAACATCTCGAAACAATGAATTCTACTCAAGCAGTATTAGTACCGCGTTCCTCCTGAATTGCTGCGCGCCTTCCCGTATGTAATTATTATCGCCACGCAAGTATAATATACTTAAGTGACGTGCGAGCGCGCCTAATCCGTTGATAGTTGGATCTCGCTGATATTATTGTATGACAAAATTAAAGTGATAGTGCCAGTGCCGTCGTCGTGTGAAAATGTCATTTAATAGCTACGACAGAAACGATCTGTCGGAGGTAAGTTTAATAAGAACGTATAATTTAGAATTGTACATTTTTTTTAAGCGCCACGAATCGTTTGTGTGGTCATCGTTTTGTTTTTCTCGCAACTCTTTTTTTATCGTTTATTTTCTTTTTATTCATAGCAAACTCCATATTTTTTCCTATATTTGTCTCGAATTTAATTTTAGACGCTCCGCTTAAAAATCTAGACAAAATAATATACATTTGCTCGATATAAACACGGATTAAAAGAAATGCAATTGTAACAGATCTTTTTTTAAATAAGAAAAATTTTTGAATAAAGTTCTTTTGTTAAAGAAGAAAAAGTTATAAAAGGTTTATCAAAGTTATTAAAGTTAAAGTTAAGTTCAATTTAACTTAAGTTTAAGTTAAATATTAAAGTTTAAGAAGATTTGTATAATGATTTAAACAAAAGTTTTAAATCATTTTTTTAAATGTTTTTAATCGTATTTTTAATTTTTTAAATAGAATAATTTATTTTAATGAGATATTTTAAATGACAAATTTAATAATGCGCCATAATAAAATATTTTTGGTAATTGTTTATAAAATATTGTTAATGTTGCTTTTAAGTATGAATGAAAAAACAAAATATCTTTATTAAAAAAGCGTTTATTAATTAAAATAAATTTAAAACTTTCGTTCAAATCATTATATAGATTATTTTAAGCAAAATAATTTTTATTCGAAAGTTTTTATAATTTTATTATTTAAAAAAATAACAATGCATACACGTGCATAAACCAAACATTGTATATAAAAAGATTACTTTTACAGTCATATATGGCGAAAATAAATATGTATTATATGTAAATGGGAGCAAAAAAAGAATACAAAACATTAAATTTAATTTTGCAATTTTGATAAAGAAATAATTAATTTATGTGCACATACATATAGTAAGCTGCTTCTTTTGACTCTTAATCATATTTTCTATTGTAGAAAGCATTGTTTCAAAATCAATAGAATCAGCAGCTAAATAAGTTTCAGTTGATAAACCTAATTACCAATTTTGTTTCTAATCTATTTCTTATACGAGATAGATTGAAGTCAGACTTTCAGATTGAAATAGAGTCGATACTCCAGAAATTTAAAACCTAAAATTCACGGTAAATCTGAATAAATCGGACATCAAAATTTCAGTAAATAATCTGATAAATACACAATTATAAAGTACATAAAAACCATAAAAGTTTTGTCTGTGAAACATTTTTATGTATCACACTATTTCATTGATATTTATCTGAAATCGAATATAAACGTTACCTTTGAAGGGTTTCACCCCTTATATCTCAGATTGACCACATGTAAAAAAAATACGCCTCTTAGATTTTTGTGTTTAACAACATTTTAAGAATCAAATCGATTCTAAATAGTTGTGACAGATCTCTTATTAGAAAAACTCAATTTCATGTGTGCCTAATCTACCGTAATGCCAAATCTACGTAAGAATCTGTCATTGATCTTTCGATACATGGTGTAAGAAGGTGTAATATTGCGCATAATGTCGGATGAATAAAATTTAAGACAAATTTTTGATTGGTGGTAAATTTCTAATAGCAATATTAGTTTTTAACATTTTGAGCAAATTTTTCATTGATTGAAATGAAGTAACGGCTACGCATTCTTGGAATTGTTTCACCTGACTTTTTACATGATGTTTTGACACATAAGATAACGTGGGACACAGATGCCAAGCCCTTTAACCTGTAAGCACTCGCATAAAGATCAAACTCATTCATTGTCAAACATACAAAATAAATGTATCTTCGTTTCATTTTTGTTTGCGGCCTAGCACTCTTTCAGTATCTTAAATTCTTTCTACGGTTATTTTTAGATCTAACGAAGTAGCGTATTGATAATGCTCAAGAAATTTAAGCAATTTTTTAAATAAATAGCTGTTCATAAATAGTTCTTTTACTTTTTGGGTCACTTTGACTCCCACGTGAACACGTACGTAACTTTCTGTGATTTAATTTTAAAAAATTTCATTTGAGTAATTTTTCAATTTAAGAGCACTCGAAGTAATCTTAAACATTTTATTTATATTATGTGAATTATCTTTGCTAAATAATAAGTTAACGTAAATATATTATTCTGAAGCAAGAAGGATCCTTTTTGTTGCAATGTCGAATAATACGATGAAAAAATCTTACGTTTAGCAAAAAAGCAAATTAAACATAAAGATTTACTCTTTCAAGAGAAACTTTTTGTAAACTGCATTTGTACGTGATTCTTAGTTTACGCTATGAAATTTTATAAAATTAATTAATTTAAAAATTGTTGCTTTAAACAATCGCATTGTTGAAATAATACTCATATATTTTATGTATCTATACTTTAACTTTAAATATAATAATAATTAAAATTTATTTGATCATTTTTACTGTCTATTTTTACTGTATATAACTTGCAAACTATGAATTTATTAATCAAAATATTAATATGGCTTTTTAAAATTTCTAATGCTTGAAAATTACTATTTTATGTTTAAAATATATGTCTCAGTTTATAATTAAATATTGTTTATGCGTAAAAAAGAAGTAAATTAAAATGCCAGTCAAATTGATTCCCACGTAAACACTTACGCAAAAAATCAAACGAGTCTTTATTAAATTTTTCTTGTTTTTTAATTCATGGATGGGTCAACACGCTATTGCAAAAAATTATTACAAGTTTAAAGAAATAATTTTAAATTTTTTTGGAAAATTTTTTGCATCTGTTAGATATAAAAAAGTTATGCAAGAAAAAATATATAAAACCGTTATAGAGTATCATTTTAAGTATATTTGGTGCAAGTTGCATGTTGACGTCATTATAACTTTAGTTTAATAAATAGGCTACCATTGCAATTGAAAAAATTGGTTTCAAGAAAATAATGTTTAAAGTTTTAATTTAAATTTTAATATTTTAAGGTAATTTTAATAGATAAGCAGCTTGCTATTGCTGTGTTAAATAAAAAACCTGTGATTGCAGATGTATCCAACGTTTATTAATTTACACGAAGATGAGAATGATCATTTACTCTTGGACATGGATTCCTTAGTTCCTAGACGAAGCAGTTTTCTAACAAGTCACGGTTGTGAACCAGCCAAGAAGAAATGTTTGCTCGGTAACGCATAAAAAAATATCGATTTTAAATAAGGAAAAGAATACAGAATCATAGAGTAAATATATATATTTTTATATACCTATTAGTATTCTTTTCTTATCACTAAATTAACATATTCGAAACTTTTTTCTTCTTTTTCCTATATGAGTGACTGCATTCTGCTTGATGCTCTAATTAAATAAATAATCTCTGAATTTTAATTGTTGATTTTAAGAATTAAATTATAGTGTATTTATAGAAATTAAATTTCAGAGAATTTTAATTTGAAGAAAGTCTTGTTTTTGTAACTTTAACTGCTCGCGCGTGTAACTTTTGATAGAATTATAATTTTTTAAAATCAACAGTTCAAACCACACAATTAATTCACTTCTAAAAAAATTTTTTAAATTATATTAATGTATAAAAAACTTTACACAAGATCGCTTCAAAGATTTTGAACTTGATATCAGCTTGCGATAATTTATTAACTTTTTCCTTGTCTATTTCAAATCAAGGCTGCAATAGAATGTCAGGCAAATTATATAAAAATTTTAAACAAATTTTTTTTAACAGTTAAAATGTAACAGACTCTTAATTAATAGCAATTGGATTCATACAATTAAGAGTTCCACGCAGATATTTGAGTGTAAATATCTTCGATTTATTTCAAATTTTCAAGTTATATTGCAATCCTTCGCGAACGTTTCGGTTTCAATCAAGCCATTATTAGCGCAAATTATATATAGTTTTAACTAAGAGAATCAATGCTCCACAAGGATGAGTACTTCCAATTTCCCGAGAAAGTAAATGTGATGCATGTGTAGCAAGTCAAAAATACCATGATCATTGTCACAATGGATAAAATTTTTTAAAAATTACAATGATTAACCAACAACTATAACTTGTGTTCGTTTATCAACAAATGTTGTGGAATTATTATGTTATTAATTATATAAAATTTTTTATATATTTCTTAATTATCCACTTCTAATTTCACTTCTATCGTTCAGACCGCGAGAAAACTATAGTGTATATTCAATTTTTTAAATTAAAACATTTAGAGACATTTCAAAATTTTGTATATTAGGTATCGTAATATGCATGAGTCTACTCTTTTGTTTTTAATAAAAAGAATTATTAATAAAAAAATATTTTTCTTATTTTAAAATATATGTTCTTTAATTTTGATTAATTTCGATTAAAAGATAAAAGATAAATTTTGATCAAATACTTATTTTGCGTTTTTTTTTTTCAAATTCACACAAACACTGCTCAAAAAATTATAACAAAAACATTTTGGGCAAAAGTTGCCCAACACTTTGGCTGACGATAACTTCGCAAAAAATTATCGTAAGTTCATAAATTTTTTAAAAATAAAGCTTAAAATCTTTACTTTAACATTTTGTATCAATTTTAAATTTACAAAAATGCACTACTACTACTGTAAACTATTAAATCTAACAGCATGTTTGCCATACTGAAAATTGCAAAGTTGACGGAATGCACGGACTTACTAAAATTTTTCCTCGGGGATTTTGTTTGTAGTGACAGAAAGCTAGAATTCTCTTTAATTTTAAAAAAGCAAGTTGTTACGTTTTTTTTTCACAAAGTTACAGCATTTTAAAGTAACCCTTATATTTTTTTTATGTCGGCATTACCCGATGTGCAGAGAAGTTGGCGATCGGATTTTGCATATCGCGCGCGCGCGCGCGTGTATGTGTGTGTGTGTGTTTTACGCGCGCACATTTCTCGC